CACGGTTAGCTGTTAGAGTACATGTGGGGTGTGGAGAAAGAGGAGTCTTAAGATGACTTTTAGGATTTTTTTCTTCTGAAGGGCTGGAGATTTATTGAGATGAGCATGACTCTGAGGAGGAGGTTAGGGGAGTAGTCAGGAGTTTAGTTTTGGATGTGTTGAGCTTGAGATACCTATTTGACCAGTGTTGAGTGGGCAGTTGGGTATATGAGTTTGGAATTCAGGGGAAGGATCTGTGCTGGAGATAAACATTAGGAATTGCCAGGGTGTAGATCCTTTTATAGCCATGAGACTGTGTGAGATCACCTAAGGGGAATAGTTCCAAGAAATGAGTCCTGGGGCAATTTCACATTTTGAGGTGTTGGAGGTAAAGAGGAACCAGCAAAAGAAACCAGGGAGAGTAGCCAGAGAGATGAGGAAGAAAATCAAGAGAGGGTGGTCTCCTGGAAGTCAAGAGAAAAAAAATTTCAAGGAGGAAGAAATGCATCAGTGGGTCAAAAAATACTGGTCAAGGAAGTGAAGACTGTTTTCTATTGGATTAAACAACTGGTAAATCTCTGGTGATCTTGACAAGAATGGAGGGAGGCAAAGGGCCTAAGGGGTTGTGTTCAATAGAGAATAGGAGGAGAGGAATTAGAGTCAGGGAGTATGATTAACTCTTTCAGGGAGTTTTGCTGTAAATATGAATCTAGACAGGGGCAATAACTAGAGAAGGATATGGAGTCAAGGGAGGTTTTTAAAATTTTTGTTTTAAATTATTATTATTTAAGATAGAAGGAACAAAATGATCCAGTAATGATGCGGGAAACATTGATGCTCCATGAGAGTAAAGGGAGAAGCTAGAGGGATGTCCAGGAGAGGGTAAGAGAGGTGGGGACAAGAGGGATGGTTATTAAGATGTTGGGGCCCCAGAGACTAAACTCATCAAGTGGGATTCTGCTTTTTCTTCTAACCACTTATCTGCATTTAAATTTATTTCAAACTACTTGCTTTCTGTGGGAAGTTAGGAAGGGCAGATAAAAAACACTAAAAGCTGTGGTACATAAAGCTCAGTTTTGGGGCCTCTTACAGTAGGGGAAGAGAAGAGATTGAATCTTCTGGGTAAGGTGACATTTTAAAGTGTCTTTGAATGACAATTAATCTGTGCTATTCTAGTCCCTTATCAAAATTTATGATTGAGCACAGGCTATAAACTTAATCATTTGAAATTTGTAGTAGGGTGAATTAAATTTTAGCCTAATTTAAAACATTTTCTAGTATTAAACTTTTTCTCTGCAAATTTTGTTGTTTAATATAGATTCTTCATATACAAGGGTTTCAGATATTTTACAAAAGGTACTTAAATATTAATCGCATTAGGTTTATTTGTAATGTTTAAAATATTATAACCATATCAGAAATCTAGATGATTTGTTTCTTTACCGGCTCTAATTAGAACAGTTACCTGCGAAGTTCTAGAGAGGTGAACAATCTTCTGTTTGTGAAAACTTGTATGACTTTGTATTAGCAAGATAATATAATACCTCTAAAAGCAAAAATAATTTTATTTACTCTAACTTAGGTGTTTGGGGTATGTTTTTCAAGAACAAATTTTAAAAATTTCAGCAAATATGGTTAAAATTTTGAACTACCTTAGTTAGAAGTGTGAAATGTATGTGAGAAACAAACTAAGTGGCTTTTAACCAGCTTAACATGACGAACTCAAACTTGCTTTCAGACTTAAATATGTTTTACATGTGGATAGTGTAAAAAGCACAAATGTGTGTATAGATTTTGCTTTTTGCTGTTCAATCTTCTTAAATTATAGAAATAAAATATTTGCTTTTCTTTTTTTTTTTTTCAATTTCCAAATGGTAGTCAATTAATATTCAATCTTCAGAAGAAACACTTTGGGATTTCTGATGTGCACAGTATTTAAGAATCATTAGTCTAAAAACAATTTCCTCTTTTTGGGTATGTGAAGCTCATTGTGAAACCAGTTAAAGCTGTGGACCCTCTTCCAAGAAAATCATACCTGTGCTGATATGTATAGAATTTAGCATATAGTATGAAAGAGTTGACTCCTCTGAAGCGCATTCATGGGATCCCTTAGGTTTAAAAGATTTCATATTTTGTTTTGTTTTTGTTTGTTTGTTTGTTTTGTTTTGTTTTTGAGACAGAGACTCGCTCAGGCTGGAGTGCGGTGGCACAATCTCAGCTCATTGCAGTGTCCCCCTCCTGGGTTCAAGTGATTCTCCTGCCTCAGCCTCCCGAGTAGCTGGGATTGCAGGTGTGCGCACCACACCCAGCTAAATTTTTTTTCATATTTTTAGTAGAGCAGGGGTTTCACCGTGTTGGCCAGGATGATCTCGACCTCCTGACCTTGTGATTTTCTATTGGATTAAACAAACAAAAACAAAACAAAATATGAAGTCCTTTAAACCTAAGGGATCCCATGAATGCGCTTCAGCGGGGTCAACTCCTTCCTACTATATGCTAAATTCTATACATATCAGCATAGGTACAATTTTCTTGGAAGAGGGTCCACAGCTTTAATTGGCCTTTAATTGCCTGGCTTAGCCTTTCAAAGTGCTGGGATTACAGGCTTGAGCCACCATGCCCGGCCAGGATTTCATGTTACAAGACTTTTCTAGATGGCTTACGTACGTGATTTTTTAAAAAAACTTTATATACGAACTTTTCCAAAAATATTTAGCTGGTGTTTGTTGTAGTTTGTTTTTTAGAAGAGTAACTGCTGCAGTGGGTTAAGAGAAAGTTAGGTCTAGTGGAAAATGAGCTCAGTTAAAGGAATCTTGGGCCAGTAAGCTCTTCTTCAGCTTCACGACCAGCTAGCTGAGTGACCTTTGGGGAAATCACTTAACTTATCGGGCTTTGATTTCCTATGCGATTTCTGCAGTCCCTGCAAGTAGTCTTATGAGCAGTTTCATAACATCATGATTTCAGGATATCATGGCAAAATTCTTTATCCGTTTAGGATTGGCCCTGCTACTCATTTTTGGAGAAAATGCCTTTGGAGATAAGGTATATGTACAGTGTGCTGCCTTTTATTAAATAAGAATTTTCAGCAGCATTTAGTAATACTTTTCCAAATGCTGCGTAAGTTAAAATCCCAGTTCCCTCCTCATTACTTTGAATTTCAACATACTTTATATATTCTGGGTATAAGGCTGTGTTGATTATACATATTGCAGTTGTCACCTCCAATTCTGTGGCTTGCTTTTTCACTTTCTTAATGGTGTTTTTTTGATGAACAGAAGTTTTTAATTTTGTCCAATTTATCAGTCTTTTCCTTTTTATTATATTTTAAAATGGTAATATTTTACTTCCTAATCAACAACTTGGATGAAAACAGTTCCAGAAAGTCATTCATTTAACAAATAATGCTGCTGGAGATCGATGCATAAGAAATTATCCCCAGCCTGAAAGAGCTAACATGAAAGCCCTAATAGGGAAGATAAGCCCACAACAGACAGCTTAAGTGTCTATTTAGTCAATTCATTGATTTAACAAGTATTTATTGAGCATTTACTATGTGCCTGGTACTGTCTCAGGCAACCTTTTGAGTGGTACAGAGTCCTGTAGATATCAGTAGTGTTAAGAATCTACTTTTTAATAACTGCATTGTTTTGTGATTGTTGCATGCTTTCTCTTTTGGTTGGGGGTCATCCTAACCTTGGTGATTAAAATTGTTATTTGCATGGGCCTGAGGACTTTGTAAAGGACTGCTGCTAAAGAAAAGGCAGCCTGGAACAACACATTGCATTTCTTTAGGAAATGAATGCTAACTGCATGAACTGGGACCCTTTTAAATAATTTTATTGTATGTTTGGTATAACTGTACATGATTAAACAAAGATTTACAATCTGGGAGATATGAAGCTCTTCTGAAATGTTCCCTGAGGAAATGAGACACCATTGGAGTAATATCAGTCAACAAACACCATATTTAAGGCAAAGGAAGACATGTAGTTCTAGAGCATAACATAGTGGACTTTAAATAATTTAATACTAAAATATTAAGGGAAAAGTTTTAGTTTTCTTCTAATATTAGATCGGGATCCCCAAACCTTAATTTTCTTTCTGGGTTTATCACTGATTAGATATGTGGCATAGAAACAAATAGCTTTTATGTGTGTGGTTTACAATCTAATTAGACATGGGCAGGCATGGTGGCTCACACCTGTGATTACAGCACTTTGGGAGGTTGAGTCAGGGAGGATTGCTTGAGCCCAGGGGTTCAATACCAGCTTGGGCAACATAGTGAGGCCTGTCTCTACAAAAAAATAAAATAATTACAAGGCATAATGGCACACTTGCGGTCCCAGCTATTCAGGAGGCTGAGGTGGGAGGATCACTTGAGCCTGGGAGGTTGAGGCTACAGTGAGCTGACTGTGCCTGACTGTGCCATTGCACTGGAGCCTGGGGAACAGAAGGAGAGTCTGTCTAAAAAAAAAAAAAAAAAAAGTAAGACACATCTAAGAATGTGAGAAAAGGTTAATTAAAATTCTGACTATACATTATTATAAAATGCTATGATTTTAAAACCTTGCATAAGGCAAATCCATTTCAAGATTAATTGAAGAGAATGCCTTTTATGAGGACCAAACTAAGGACTAGTGATGTTAGCTTAATTTGTTACTATAAAGCAACCGACAGTAGAGATCACTTGTTGGGTTTGAAGGAGTAGTTGTATGTTATTTAAATGAGGTGCATTTTATTTCTATCTATCTCTTAGGAAAGGAAAATATCAACTGCTTACTTTCCCTTGTCTTGAAAAACTATGGAAAAGTAGTGATTTAACTGCTCTTGAGTTCCTTCTTTGCTGTAAAAATTACCTATTTTTTTTTTTTTCTTTTGGGTTTTAAAACTTTGGAAATTTTTGTGTGTTTTGGTTTTTTCTTCCTAAAATCAGATAGAAATCTTTGAATCTTCAGCTTTTGATGACATGTTATAAATATGTGTGTGTTGTCTAATTCCATTTTTCCATTCTTCTGTTATAGGGGGTTAGAGAGCTGAAGAAGAGCCAGTTTTCCCAAAATTGGTAAGTACTTTCAGTAGGTAGACATAGTATGCCTGATGCTAGCTGGATAATAATTCAGATACTGTGATTTTTTTTTTTTTTTTTTTTAAAAAAAAGCTGTCTCTCAGAAATGGGGTTTTGCTGTTTGCACTGAGTGGAAATGAATTGTCTAATGTCACATAGCTATATTTCAAACCCATATGTGTTTCTGCTAATACAGCTAGGCCTGCATGTTCCTCCATTCCGATAACCTGTTAAAATGTAAACATCACCTTTTCCAAAAATGTCCTTAATGCAGTGGCTCGAGTTGAGAATTCAAAATCCAAGAAATTGAAAAGTTCAGATTCCCAGCCAGGCCCAGTGGTGTGTGCCTGTAGTCCCAGTTACTCAGGAAGCTGAGGCAGGATGATGGCTTGAGCCAGTGCAAGTCCAGCCTGGGCAACAAAGCAAGACCCCCATCTCTTAAAAAAAGAAGATTAAGATTCCTATAGTGGTTTGTGTATTAAGATTCCTATAGTGGTTTGTGTTACTTAATATGCTGTTATGTTTGATGGCTTTAGTATATGTGCAAAATGGCTTAGGTTAATGTAACTGTGGAAACTTGACTTTGAAATTTGGGACTCGTGTTTATATTCTTAAACTTAATATTGGATTAGCCTCATGTCTGATAGCACGTTTTTTAGTGTGTGTTGTTTTATATAATTCTTAAAAAGGAAAAAGAGAGAGAGAGAAAAATGTAATCATGTGGGACATATAGGCAAACTTTTTTCCTGATGTCTACTTTGATAGATTTTTTTTTATATGGCTTATAAGTCATCACTCTTAATCATTTCTTTGAATGCACAGAGCAATCTAATGACTAGCCATCAAACAAATAATAACTTTATTAGAAGAGTGTGTATTATGAAAAAAATTAAATTCAAATAAGATAGCTGGAATAGGGTAGTCGCCTAATGCAAGGCTATTCCTTTTTAAAAAAAATTTTTTTTTTTTTTTTTTGAGACGGAGTTTCGCTCTTGTTACCCAGGCTGGAGTGCAATGGCGCGATCTCGGCTCACCGCAACCTCCGCCTCCTGGGCTCAGGCAATTCTCCTGCCTCAGCCTCCTGAGTAGCTGGGATTACAGGCACGTGCCACCATGCCCAGCTAATTTTTTGTATCTTTAGTAGAGACGGGGTTTCACCATGTTGACCAGGATGGTCTCGATCTCTCGACCTCGTGATCCACCTGCCTGAGCCTCCCAAAGTTTAAAAAAAATTTTAAATACTCTCTCTCAAATAGTAATTAACTTAGTGGATGGAGTAGATATAATAGATATTTGGCCAAAGTTTCCTTTTGATAGCTTATGGTGCTTGTGGTGTCTGTCTTCCTTTTAGGGACTGGGGTTAGAACGTGATTCATGGAGGCACTTGAACTAAATTAACCCTTGCATTTTACTACCTTTTGATTTCTACTTGCTTTTCTCTAATGAAACCTTTTAAAATAGATAATCAAGATCCTATAGCTCTTACTTTGACATGGGACAGAATCTTAGAGAAGGGACCTTAACCCATTTATACCAGAGGTTGCAAATTTTTTTTTGTGTGTGAAAAATCAGACCTTGGCGATGATCTTGAGCAGTAGGATATAAATAATTCCCCCAAGCTTAGTGTTCCAATAATGGAACACTAGGTATGGATTAAGGACCTTCTCCTCCAATATTTTACCCTGTGTGGCAGTTTCTTCTAGATCCCTGACAGTTTGTTATTCAGGTACATACTGAATACTACATGTTTTAAAAATGTAGCTCATTTTCTATAATGTATTCTGAGGAATTCTGCTTCCACAGAAACTGAATAAGTATTATTGAAGGGGGCGGGGGTGGGAAAAGGGTTCTGTGGTCAAATAATTTGGAAAATGCTGCATTAAACAAAGTTAAACAGGTTTCTTTACTGCAGGACTTCTCAGAACCTTTAATATGCTAATGTGCATTGTGAATCTCCAAGAGGGGGATATGATATGCAGCATTCTTGAATACTTCTAATGACAGGGAGCCCACTACCTCATAAGGTAACCCATTCCTTTTTTGTACAACTCTAATCCTTAGTTCTTCCTTTTCCTTATATTGATCTGAAATATATCTCCCATAACTTCCACTTCTATTAAGTATTTATTGGTTATGCTGAAACTACCACACCCACTTGTGTTATCCTTTGTGTGGTATATATTTGTAAGACCTGGACAGGCATGTCTGGACAGTTTTTAAAAAAAAAAAAAATCATTAAATATGAATAGGATTCTGGTAAATGTGATAACCAGTTCTAAAATCTTGGCCTCCTTGTCGCTATGCTCTTAAACCCTACTTCCCAACTTCCATTTTCAATTTCTGTGTATTTAAAATTTTACTCAGTTTTCTTTTTGTTGGATGTGGTTGGGATAATTTAGTAGACATGCTTGATTTTTGAAAAGAAAAGAAATAGAAGACTGTATGTAGACAGCCTGGACCCCAGAAAACAGAGGTATAAACTGTACATTGGGTTGAGCACTGATGATGGTGGGGAGGAATCCAGGACTCTACGCAGACCTGTGAAGGAAGGTGCTATGGGTAACCCTGGCCTGGCCCAAGGCACCATAAAAGCCTGCAGGTTGCAGCAGAGGTGTGAACTGCATAGAGATTCCTTTTTCGCAAAATGAGGACTTGCCCTCTACCCCTTACAAAACACATAAAGATGAGAAAGATAATTTTATACTCACATACATTCAGACATTTAGATACCATAAATGTAATGATATGTATGCATATATATTTTTTATTTAATTTAATAATTAGGAAACATTATTAAATGTAATTTAATAATATGGAAACATCCAACTAGCTAAGGAGGTATTTGTCAAGAGCTGTCATACCAGGATTTGAATATAGTAACCTGACCAGATTCAGAGGGTTAGCCTCTAAAATCAGGATTGCGAAGCTCTTTGTGCAGTAGTAGTTTCTGTTCACCTGTGGAGTGTCATAAAAGAAATACTGTGATGAAAATAAATCAAGACGTGTTGAAATGTGCTAAATGATAAGAAAATAAACATTACATTATTTTTTTTAATGTTGACATTTGTATTGATTCATGTTAATGTTAAAGTTTTTAATAAATATTAAAAGAATTTTATTATTTTTGGCATTCCTGGTAATTTTAGCACTAAAGTTAATGAAAGTATTTTCTCTCTATATATGTTAGATACATAGTAAGAAGTAAGTATTTTGTACAAATTGAAACCTGATATTTGAGTATTAAGCATGGGACAAGAAATAAAAATACATAGATCTGTCAAGACTTAACTACTTTTTCCTATTTAAAAAAATGAATTTAGCCTACTTTAAACATTGTGTCTGAGAATATGGATCAGAAGCAGAGGAGTTTCACACCAAATAAATGCATGGTACAGACAACATGGAATTGTCCTTTTTAGAGACAGTTTGGGGCACACTGTGTCATGGACTTATTGTTAAAGAAATGTTGGTTGATGAGTCCAGTTTTGATTGGAAAAAGGTTTCTGTCAATTCAGTAACAGCAAAATATTTCTTAGCAGTAAAATCGGAGTTACAGCTTTGCTACGAGTTATTAGAATCATAATAAAAGACCTACAGGTCACATAATTCAAGCAGATGTATACCCAGAGAAATAGTTAGAAGAATCTCCATAGAAAGTTTGAGAACAGAAAAGCTTACAGTCTTCTAGATATATACTGTGTAGAGAAGTTTTATTAAAAAGTCTGTATAGAGAAAAGAATTAAATGTATTAAAAGTGTCATAAAACTTTACAGTTTGCAAAGGGCTTTTCATATAATTTTGCCTTATTTAAACTGCAACAGTCTTATGAAGTAGGTGATATTGTTTCCATTTTCCTGATTTACAAGCAAACAAACCCTGAGGATGAGAGTAGTCACACCGTGAGTAAGTAGAATTAGTGTTTTTGTTTTTGGGATGATAAATGTGCTTTCCTTGGCTGACCATTTTAGTGGGATTTAATAATTGTTTCTGTTTGTTTGATTTTGTGTGTTTGGTTTTACGTTTTTTGTTACTGTTGTTAATGGAAGGTGAGAGGCCATTAGGTATCGGAATGGTTTGATGTGTACAGTTTGGAAGATTGCAAATGCTAGTATTTCGGGCTAGGGAAGTGCCCTCGTTGATGGTGACTTGTAGAGCTGTTGGATGGTGAGAGGTATTATGCTGGAATACAGTGTGTTACCGTCTTGTGAGTCTGATGATATTCACCTTGCAGTAACTGATTGATTCTTTGTAACTTATTAGAATTTGTCAAAATATGTTGTTATCTTTTAAAAGTGTAGCAAATAACTTTTTTGATGCTATGAACTGCCTCCCAGTGGTGTTCAGATGATGACTGCATGATATGTCCAAGATCTCAAAATATTTTTTCAGTTGGGTGCAGTGGCTAATATCCCGCATTTTGGGAGGCTGAAGGTGGATGGATCACTTTAGTCCAGGAGCTCAAGACCAGCCCGAACAACATGGCAAAACCCTGTCACTACAAAAAAATAAAAAATTAGCCATTGCTGCAGGTGGTGCACACCTGTAATCACAGCTACTCAAGAGGCTGAGGCAGGAGGATTGCTTGAGCCCAGATGTCGAGGCTGCAGCAAGCCATGATTGCCACTGCATTCCAGCCTGGGTGACACAATGAGACCCTGTCTCAGGAAAAAAAAAAAATTTTTTTCTTTTTTTTTTTTTTAAAGGCAGTTTCTTGCTCTGTTGTCCAGCCTGTAGTGCAGTGGTGTGATCTTGGCTCACCACATCCTCCACCTCCAGGTTCAGGTGATTCTCCTGCCTCAGCTTCTCGAGTAGCTGGGACTACAGTCATGTGCCACCACGCCCAGCTAATTTTTGTATTTTTAGAAGAAATGGAGTTTCACCATGTTGGCCAGGATGGTCTTGATCTCTTGACCTTGTGATCCACCGACCTCAGCCTCCCAGAGAACTGGGATTACAGGTGTGAGCCACCATGTCCAGCCAAAAAAATTTTGTTCAAAAGATTCAGCATATATTCAGGACCGGCCTGGGCAACATAGTGAGACCCCTTCTCTACAAGAAAAAATAAAATGAAAAAAGCGAGATTCAATATGTACCTGTCTTGTTTTTGTAAACTCTATGTATATAATTTGTTTCTTTACACACAGACCAGTCTCTTAAAATTACTATCCAGAAGGAGACTTTTCTGAAGAAAAGAAAAATATTTTCAAGTGAATCTTCTAATCCTTCATGTTTTTCTACAATTAGTCCTACCTTTTTTTAACCCTTCAGTTTTATTTTGAAATAAATGAGTAGTTGGCATTTAGAGTCCTTGCCAAGTAAAACTTCACACCTTTGTGTATCTCTAAGAAGCAGACAATAATCTGATGGAGAAAGTAAAAGCTATCAGCTCCTCATTAGCTTGAGTTGCAGGCTTTTTATTGTGCGAGGCACTCTTTGACATTTACAGTCTTTGGGTTAAACCCTGGTTTTGACTTTTCTTTTCCTGAGCATTTTGTTTGATAGTATAACATTTTCTGATGCTTTATCTACTAATTCTTGGTTAATGTTTTCTTGTTTAAAAAGAAGTGCATTTTTTAATGGAAAATTTCGAAAATATCAGTACCCCAAAAAGAAGAAAGTAAATAACTGTCAGTGCTACCACCTAGAGATAACCATCAGCAAATTATGAAGTGACACCTGACAAATTCTATACAGCTCAGAGTGTTATTATTTTTACAGGTCTTCAGTTTGATAGAGCATATCATATCATCTTAATTATATTTCTGTGTCTTAACTGCAGATGGAAGTTTTTTGTGTTTGTTGGTCATTCTTCTTCTGTAAATTGTTTTTTCATAGATTTTTGTTACCAATTTTTCAGAGTCCTAAATATATAAACTATATTAGCCCTTTGTCATGTATAATGTAAATTCTTGGCGTTTTAACATGCCATTCGTTTCCAGAGTTTATGTGAGTTGAGTTGAACTATGGTTTTATATGTTACTATCACTAGAATAAAGTATGAATATTTGAAAAATACCCCTTCAACTTCAGAGTGATTCTTGACTTGACAAAAATTATAAGGAATCATTTTGGACACATTTTCTGGTAGAGCCTTGTAAAAATTAAAACCAAGTGGTGTTTTCAAGAAGAACTTTAATACATAAGTCAAGAATTTGAGTAGGGAGATTATTTTAGTATTTAAAATTAAACTGGCTTTGTAGCTTTGTAGTTTTAACTTTAGGATTGCAGGTAGAGTAAGCTTATGTGATAATAATAAAAATCCTAGTCTTAGTAACTTTATGATTCTGAAATTTATTTATTGATTGGTTATTGTTCCAAATATTTTAAAAGATAGTAAGTAGCTAAAACTACCCAGATTTGTTTACCACAATGTCTCCCTTTCTAAATTATTAATATCTCCCCTAAATATACTGCCTTTTAAAATGTTTTGGTTGACATTATCATTATACAGTAAACCTTTCCTACCCTTTAAAAAAGTGAATTTAAAGGAATTTTGCACTTTTGAAATTTATTCTTTTTTACATTTGAGTATTTTGGTAATATATAATATAGTACATAAGCCGTAAGAAAGATTGCTACTGCTGTTTTATGCCTAATGAGAATAAGCAAATATAATGAAAACTCACACTCACAAAAATACGTTACCTAGTTAATGATTCCATTATAACTCCATTAAACCAGTTTTCAAAGGACTTTTAGAAAACTTAGGTTGAATATAGACTTTACCCATAGTTAAATAATATTTAGAAATATGAAGATCACGAATCTTACTGTACTGGTTTAAGGCATAGTGGTTCCTCTAACTTTCTGATTGTTCCCTTCCCCAGTTTATATGAATGCTAAAAAGTTGCTCTAGCTACAAGTTTTATAGGTGCAAAGAAAAGAAATTTGAAGTAAAATTTAAATTTATTCAGGCAAAAACAGACTTTTGCTTTGGCAGAGTACCTAAAATCATGTCTAAGGCCACGTTCACAAAAAGAAAAAAGTAATAAAGGATAAATTCGCCACTGAATTAATTTAAATTAGAGTAGTGATAATTGGAAGAGGATAGGAAGGTCAAGCTGGGTGTCACATTCACAGATTTAGACTTTTGACATTATTTCCACATGCCATTATATGTATAGTCTAAGAGATGACTGGCAAGCTTGAAAGAAGATGATTTTCATTGTAAAGTTGGAAATGCGTTCCTTTACTAGACCACCTCATATGTTACACACAATAGATACATTTTTAAAATATCCACATCATAACTTTGTGGATAGCACAGTTATATTGCATTGTATTTATCTGTGTTCAGTATTCATTTGTTAAATGTAAATGCTTAAGTTATACCAGAATTTTCCCATTTTGAGTTTCTCTATTTTTTATGTAGAGGAAGCACTCATGCAAATGAAAGTACCGTGGCATTTGTTAACTTCCAAGAAACCCTGAACTCTCCAGTTCACTCTGTGTGAAGTTTACAAATGTACGATTCTGTTGTTATATGTCTCCTTCTGAGGACAGCGTGTCCTGTATGGTTATAGTCTCATTGAAGGCAGAAGTGGTCTTGTTCACCTCTATATCCTCAGTATGTAGTAATTAACACAGTGCTGAGCATGTGGTGGGTACTTAGATGTTTCCATGACCAGATTAAACCCTTTTTTTGGTTTTTCATTTCTTAGTTATTTGAAATGTTCTTTAGAGGAATACTTGAAGAATTATTTCGGGGAAAAAAAATCTTTGAGAAATTTCTTGCCCTGTGTTAGAGAAACAAATATTTTTTGACAGTTTATTTGACATAAATATTTTGTTTATTCCAAATGTAATGATCCAAAACATTTTATGATCTTTACAGCTGCAGTGAGAAGAGGAGTTTGTTACTTTAAACAGAGGCTGAAGAAACTATAGAATCAGCAGAGAAAGTGGAGAAGGTAGAGGATGGAGTTGCAGACTCTACAGGAAGCTCTTAAAGTGGAAATTCAGGTTCACCAGGTACGTTGTAGTATTGGCATCTCCCACACTGTTGTTAAGTAATGGTTAAGATTAGTAAACAAGCCCATCTCTGGTGTTTAGTACAGTTTTTAATCATCTTTAAGACAGTTACCCAAGAGTCATGTCATTTGCCTTTTATCACTACTCAACAAAGTCATAGATACTACTTTTAAGAAATTAAAGAAAATATTCCTGACTTCCTTTCTAAAGAAAAGAACTGAAAAGATTATTTTTTTTTTAATATACCAAAGGTGTTAACAAAAAAGAAAGAAATCTTTTTTCTGCTTTTTGGTTCATCTGAAGGGCTTTATTCATGTGATTTAACTTGCATGGTTTAAATAACAACATGTCTAATTCAACTACCATATGTACTAAAATTTTTACAGATCATATGACTCAGCTTTATGTGTTGATTCCAATCTTTCGTAAAGAAAATGTGATTGTCTTCACAGATGTTTAAATTTCAGGTTTCACAATTCTTATATTTTACCTCAGATACCCAGACTAAACATTTAAAGTAATTATAAAAATGTATGTATAAATAAATTTTAAATATGTTTGTAAAACAATATTTTATGTGTATAATAAAATTTTAAAATATTAAATGTAATTTATATGTGAATATATAAAAGTAAATGTATACATAACTATAATCAAAACAAAAAGCCATCTTTAAATAATTACATGATTAAAATTTGTTATGCAAACAGAATACCACTGTTTTATGTCTTTCTAGACTTTAGCTGGACATCAGACTGAAGACATACATATGCATGCATGTATATAGTCCTTGGTACTCAAAAGTGATTAAGGATGATGCATTGACTGCTTCTGACTTTGTAACAATTGGAGATATGGGAGTGGAGAGAAGGAGAAGTAAAACTACTTTTTAAAGGTGTTTGTTCTTAGGGTATAGTTTCCTTTGTTTTATCTGAGTAGTCCAAGATAACATTAGCTTTTGAAATCACTGGGAGAATATCTTGGGCCTTTGGTAACTACTAGATTTGCATGTTGCCCAGAATTAGTGTGGGTGAGAACTTAAAGGAAGCTTCAGAAGCACCTGTTCAGAAATCCCTGCTGCCGCTCCGGATCTCGGATCTCGTTAAACTCTTGTTCCGCTGCAGCGTTGGCCCTGTGCACGTGGGCTTCTTTAAGTAGGTAATAAGCAGCATACTTTTTTTTTTTTTTTTTTTTAAAACCTTGCTTCTGCTACTGAGAAGAGTAGAAATTTGTTACAAAAACAAGCTCGCCTTTTTCTGAGTGAAAGTAGTTTAACATAGAGGTGTGTTGAATACCCAGTTTGGCTGAATGGCAAGTGATAAAAATTAAATTCACATTTTGTTCAAAGCTCTCATCATCATAGAATGAATTTTGGGAGTACAGGAATCAATCTGAAATTTGTGTGGATAAAGGATAATTTTATGATGTTGTGTGTGGTTTTTGTAGTTTTTCCTCTTCTGAGGAAGTACTGAGATGGTAAAGTTAACATTCTGCTTTAGTTCCTCCTCACAAGATATGAGCAAGTCCCAAATAATCCTTCCTTGAAAGGTTCATGACCTAAATTAATTGAAGTTAATTACTAAATATTTTGTTTCCTATTCCAAATTCAAGCATACCAATTTTATAAACATCACAATTATGAAAAACAATATTTATTATTCTGTTTTAAATCTAATTAAAATTTTAAATTTACATTTGTTGACTCAAAAGCGATGCAGTATTCTTCCTAGTTATTCTAAAAACTCTCTTAATATTCATATTAACTGTCAGTTTTGAGCATACAATTAGTAGCTTTTATATGTTTTTGTGATAGTAAACATTTATATATCAATAATATTTTAATAGAGAACACATAAGATAATTTCACTCTAGTTACATCTTTAATTCTTTACTGTTTTTGAAAAAAGAGTTTCTGTGGTGTCACCTACACAATCATTGATTATGAGAAATTGAGGCATGCCAGAAATGACATCGAGGTAGGGGGATTGGTTACCAGTCTGAGACCAAAGCCAGAACATACATTTGACTAAATATTGGGGCCAAAGCCACCCTTTGTTGCATTTCCAGCTAGGGTATGAGATTAGAGATGAAACTGAGCTTACTGGATAGAAAATGTTTTCTGCAGCTACTTGGTATTGCTGTAGTGAAAACATATTTTTGTTCTTTATGTTTTCTTTATTAATGTGAAGATAGTTATTAAAGTAGCAATATACACATAGTTGATGCTCAATAAACATTTAAATAATAATGTCCTGTGATGGACCTCTCATCTTTTTGGGAAAATTGCCTTTTTTCCTCTTCCCTTCTTCGATCTTATTTAGATTTGATGGAAGTCACATTAAAAATTTTAGGGTATTTACTCCATATGTAATGGAGAATAGTATAAAGCAGAGGTTAGCAAATTTTTTTGTAAAGGAATACATAGTGAAATATTTCTGGCTTTACAGGTAATTTATGGTCTCTGTCACAACTACTCTGCTCTGCTGTTGCACAGACAAAACAGCTATGGACAATATTATGAGTAGGCTTTTTTCCATAAAACTTTATTTCCAAAAACAGGTGGCGGGCCAGATTCGGCCTACGGGTTGTTTTGCTTACCTTTGGTATAAAATATATCCTCAAGAAACATTGCTGCATTCTTGCAATAGAAAGTAACTTAACTTTGTTAACATGATGTCAGCTTAAAGTTACTAGGGATTTGGATGATCCAGTAAGTTGACAAGCTTGTCCTGTTCTACCTCTGATTGTTTAAAATGCAGTTTAACTGCTTATAGACAGAAAAGTTGGCTTGTTTATTTCCTCTAGAGGTGAAGACTTCATGTGGTTATCAGTACATTTTTAAATTCCAGTGTCCGGAAGAAAACCTTTTTCAGCTTCTAAAAGGTAACAGCATAGTAGCCAGTCCTCTGGTAACCAAATCAAAAAGGAAAATCAAGAGCTTTTTTCATTGAAGAGTGTGGCTAGCATTAATGTAAAAATGTATATGTATAAAACCTTGTGTTTTAATTCCCTTAAACTCTTGGAATGTGTATTGTTACTATTTTGTAGTTTAAGTCTAGGATATATAAGAGCTACTGCCATTAAATATAAAGTAGAATATAGTGACACATACCTTATGTATTTGGAAGTCACATGGTTGGCAACCTCAGTTATCTAAAATGTGTCTTAGCACCAGTGATAAAGACTTTTGACCAATTAGAATAAATGTCTGAAGTGATATACCAAAGATTGTACATTTTACTAAAGGAGTATTTCTTAGATTATTACATCCTATTCACTTGTCTTAAAATGAGTCCAGTGAGTATACCACACAGCAGGTCTGAAGCAGCAAATTTGAGCTGGGTTTCAGGGTTGTTAGAATAGTAGTAAGAGCTGGGCATGGTGGCTCACGCCTGTAATCTCAGCTACTCAGGAGGCTAAGGTGGGAGGATCGCTTGAGGTCAGGATTTCGAGATCAGCCTGGATAACATAGCGAGACTTCATCTCTTAAAAATATTTAAAAAATAAAAATCAGTCAGGCCTGGCAGTTCAAGCCTGTAATCTAAGCTACTTGTGAGGCTGAGGCGGGAGGATGGCTTGAAGCAGGAGGATCACTTGAGGTCAGAATTTTGAGATCAGCCTGGCTAATATAGAGAGATGTCATCTTTACCAAAAAAGAGGTGGGGGGAAAGGCCAGATATAGTGGTGTGTACCTGTATTCCCAACTACTTAGGAGGCTAAGGTGGGAGGATTTGCTGGAGCCCAGAAATTGGAGGCTGCAGTGAGCTATGATTGTGCCACTGCACTGCAGCCTGGGTGACAGAACAAGACCCCATCTTTAAAAAAACAAAAAAAGAATAGTAACAAAAAAAGATGTGTTGGGTGACTACTTGATGTTAAGGACTGGACTGAGAAACTACAACGTGGATTTACGAACTGTAAAACATAGTACTTTGAGACCTTTTTTGTAAGGACCCTATTGTTTGTAGTTTAATATAATTGTTCTTCTAAGTATCCATAAAAGCTTGATTTTTTTTTTTTTTTTTTTTTTTTTTTTTTTTTTTTTGAGACGGAGTTTCGCTCTTGTTACCCAGGCTGGAGTGCAATGGCACGATCTTGGCTCACTGCAACCTCCGCCTCCTGGGTTCAGGCAATTCTCCTGCCTCAGCCTCCTGAGTAGCTGGGATTACAGGCACGCACCACCATGCCCAGCTAATTTTTTGTATTTTTAGTAGAGACGGGGTTTCACCATGTTGGCCAGGATGGTCTCGATCTCTTGACCTCGTGATCCGCCCACCTCGGCCTCCGGAAGTGCTGGGATTACAGGCTTGAGCCACCGCGCCCGGCAAAAGCTTGATTATTTTATTTTATTTTTTTCTTCTTTTTAAGAAGTTAGGCTGGGTGTGGTGGCTGACACCTTAATCTCAGCACTCTGGGAGGCTAAGGTGGGAGGATTCCTTGAGCCTAGGAGTTTAAGACCAGCCTGGGCAACGTAACAAGACCCTGTCTCTACAAAAAATTAAAAAATTAGCCAGGCATGCGAGTTTGCACCTGGGGTCCTAGCTAGTCAGGAGGCCAAGTCGGAAGGATCACTTAAGCCCAGGAGGTCAAGGCTGCAGTGAGCCGTGATCACACCACTGTATTCCAGCCTAGGTGGCAGCAAGACCCTATCTAAAAACAAAAAACAAAAAACAAAAAGTGTAGTTAGATAAATATATAGTATATTTTAGAAGGGTTTTACTTCACAACTAAACACTTTAAAAGTGCCTTGTCACCAAAAGAGAGTGACATATTTTTCCATTACATGAAAAATTGACTTGGGTAATAGCTTATTCCTAGATACTTCTGATGCTCCTTTATCCTTCAAATTTTTCTGTCTATGGTTATTGTCACTTTTGGGCAGTGATGTTTTTAAAAGTTGGCTTAGGTCAATAGACATTCATTTTTCTCTCTTTGTTATTTGTTTGGGTTTCTGTTTTCCCTAGTAAATATCTTTTCCATTCAGTATTGGAGTATCACTCACTTTCCCAGAGAAACCGAGTTAGGTAGAGTTTTGTATCGTTTCTGCACTTCCTTGTTCTCAAATACTGATCATCACTGCCCCATTGAACTTATCCTTTCCTGCACCCACCTCTGTCTTGAGAGAAGGCAGTGGCAAAGTCACATGTGACACTAAGCTCCTTCTGTGGTAAGAACCAGACCAATAGAACTGCCAAGTCTGTGTTTTGCTCTGTGTATAAACAGGCCGGTTTTGTGTAGGGCCAGCTTCTTTGCAGGCCTTGTTTGGACTCTAGACATTGATGACATTTGAAATGGATATTTGGCTTTTGGAACATCCAGCTTGTTTTAATTCCTTTCAAAAGCCACTGTCTCCCATCTCTGTGTCCAGATTTAAAAATCAGGCACTTTTTCATTTCAAATATAAAGTAGTAGTTTGATTTTCTTTTTTTTTTTTTTTAATTAAGGGAAGTGCCTCCTGAGCCTTTTACATGGATCACAGGTTTTAGTCTGTTCTGATTGTGGTGTTGCTTATTTTTTTGTGTTAACTTAAAATCCTAGATTTTTTGGTCCAAACCTGATCAGCCATAGGGAGTTAACACGTAAGACTGATGGCTCTTTTTCTCTCTTTATTACCAGAAACTGGTTGCTCAAATGAAGCAGGATCCACAGGTAAACTACTATTGTTATTCATTTAATTTTTAAATTAAAAAATAATTTAAAGTCAAGTCACCATAAAATACTGAAATATGGATGATGCTTAACTTTTAAGAATTCTTTCTAATAGCAGTTATTTTTAATACATTGATCTTCAGGTTTTAAGGGTTTAGAAAAATTCAGTCATTCTAATTTAATATAGCTGTTATTTCATCTATGTTACTATCATTTTGGTTTTATATGAATTGGTTTGAGTATTTTGGAGGAAAATATTGAGTTAATACTCTTCATATAGCTTAAACTCGTTTCCATAAACCCACTTATTCAACATCAGTTTTTGAGACTTTCTGCCACCTCAATATTATGAAAAGTGACCCCAAACCATTTCTATTGGAGTTTATATTACAGAACATTTGAATAGTTCTGAATTATGTACTTTCACGGTAAGAATTTAAGAGTAATTTTTAAAAGAAGCATTTTAGAAAATTTTATTTTTGAAAGAATCTTTAAAGGAGGTTTAAAAAGTACCTTATGTTACTTTTTAACAGAAAAGTTAACAGGGAATGTTAACTTTTCTTTAAATTCTCATAGGCATTTTTCACTAAGCCATTTTATTCTCTATTCCTGAAGAGACATTTTTCCAAAACGTTATCTTGTCTTCTGATGATTATATTTATTATTGGGTAGTGTCTCTTTTTTAACCATTAGATACTGGGTCATAAGTATGGAGAGTGTTTATCAAATATATCTCTGTATATATCTGGGTTGATAAACATTCCACACAGGCTTCATTGTAAAGTAAAATTAAGTTTTTGGTTGAAGAATGGTACTGAGGCACATTGATTTTTGGAAGTGAAAAATAACACTTATCTCCACAAATTGAGAACTCAGGTCTGACTATTATGTTTTGACTCTGAGAGCTGGCATACATATTTCTATTAAATGGTCCCACTTCCATGAGAAACTTCTTTTTTTTTCTTCAATTTTTTGGCATATTCACAATTTATATTGAATTTAGTTTCAAAAATTAGCTGGGCGTGGTAGCCCAGCTACTCAGGAGGCTGAGGCAGGAGAACCACTTGAACCCTGGAGGATTGTGCCGCTGCACTCCAGCCTGGGCAACAGAGTGAGACTAGATCTCAAAATAAATAAATAATAAGTTGGATTTAGAAAACCAAGAAGCAGTAGACTTTAGATTAACAGCTCCTTTCCTATTTAATGTGGTAACCTACATTATCAGCAACTGTGAAATGTTACTAGAAACTATCATTTCTATTATACTTGTGGTCATGTAACAGAATTGTCTTAACCTGAAGAATCTGAGGTGGGCAGGGCAGTAACTTGTTGGACAGCATTGTGCTTGATCTCATTGGAGAAACCTTATGTCAAATACACTAATAAAAAAGTCAACATGGAGTGAACAAAATTCAATAGATGGGGAGGATGTGTTCCCTAACCCTGACAGAAGACCAAGCAGGGTAAATTGAAAAAATCGTATGTGAGACAAATCAAGTAAAAGTGGTCTCTCATTAGGGTGGTGTTCAGTCTGCTAGTAGGCTGTCCTGCTATATTAAGCATTTGAAAACTTTAATTTTGGAATTTTTCTGCCTACTTTAGTAAAAGGCAGTCATGCTCAGTGTATCTCATCTAAAATAGTATTCTTTTTTTGATTCCTAGAATTTTAGAACTGAGAAAATGCCCTGGTAGTCACTGTGTTAATTTGAATGATGTAGTGTTAAGGCAGTTGCAGTACTGACAGCTTTTCAGATCTAGGCTAAAATAACAAATGTACTTTGCTAAATAAGGGAGAGGGCAAGTGGAGAAAAACCTCTTATCTTTGTTGATAATTCTGTAAAGTATGTAGTGTATGTATAGTTGTAAAACCCCATTTACCTACTTCTGTGTGATTAGTGGAGCTTTGGGTTTTCTGTCAACAGAAAACTTTCTATAAAGAATAAGAGTATTAAAAAAAAAAGAAAAAAGAATAAGAGTATTTTAGTGGACAGGTACTTTCACGGTACAGGATGCTCAAATATAAAACTTTGTGTAATTTAAAACAATTGCAGAGAAGCTGCTCCTGCTTTGGTGCTAGGAGCCTGTATTTAGGATCTATGCATTAGGTGATGGTATTATGGCCACAGTGTAATAATACATGACAGATTTGATTGGCTGTATGCTTCAGGTTGCTTCATCATTTGTGATACAGTATGCAGAGTCTTCCTGCTACTATCCTGTTAACAAATGAAATATCTTTCTCACAGATATTTTTTCTTTCCAATCAGAATGCTGACTTAAAGAAACAGCTTCATGAACTCCAAGCCAAAATCACAGCTTTGAGTGAGAAACAGGTAGGGGAAAAGGGGAGGGGGGCATATTTTTAACATTGTGTTCTAAAGATATGTCTGCTAGAGGCTTCTAAGAGAACTGCTATTTTTCCTCATGTGTGAAAATAAGTGTGGGCAGCCAGACTCGGTTTTAATTTTGTTTGAGCTCTGTTTATCTATTTTTATTTTTGGTTGAAATCAGTCTCTAGAGTATCCCATGGGTATATGTTACTGGCAAATACCTAAAAGCAATGTGGCAGGCTGCCGTTAACTGTGTTAATTAAACTCTATAGTTTATCCATAGGGGATGAGGTAAAGACAGTGAGAGTAGGTGATAGAGAATCTTGTAGGTGCTGCGTGTACCTTGTTACTTGTCTTAAAACCTTGAGATGACATTTAACTTACTGTGGAGAAAATCTTGTTGTAAGTAGATGGCTCTAAATGTAGGTCTCCCATTCTAAGTATGGTCATGCCTTTATGTTAATCTCTATTAGATATTGACCTACTATTATGTGAAAAAACTTTGGTGAAATCTTATTAGACTTATTCCATATAGGGCAGGAGAAGAAAAGCTTGCTTTTTTCCGAGGCTATCTGGAAAGTATTCTTTGGAATTTTTTGTATGATGACCTGCACTTTACCCATTCAAGCAGTGCCTGCCACCAGGTGGAGTGTGGCAATTGATAGAGCTCTAAGTAAATGTTTATGGTAATCTCATAAAGCATTTATTTTCTTGTTTCTTCCCCACCACTCTCCCTCTGATTAGAAAGAGTAGTTTTCTGTCTTGGAGTAGGTGAATGTATTAATGAAAATAATAAGGTGATTTACAGTTGATATTTCATGCCAGTGACATTTTATTGAAGATTTTTGATGAAATAGTTATCAATAACTGATTTTTATGTTGTTATTTAATGTTGTTATTTAGTGAAATAATAACAATGAGAATAATTTATTCCTGGAGACTTTTTATTGTGTTTCTATTGTGTTTTCATTTAACTGAGGGGAGAAATAAACTTTGAGAACTATGTGGAAGAGATATGAATCATTAATGTTTCAGAATAGAATCATCTTCCAAGCTGAGTGAACAAATGCTTTATATTCTTCCCTCCTATTCTTATGCATCCCCACCTTGTCTTCTCCACAGACAGGAGGTATTTTAGATTAGGGAATTGCCAAACTAAAATTGGGAGGAGGTGGGATGGTGGAGAACAATTTGTAAGAAAAAATATAAACAGAGTTGGTTAGTATGTATTTGGCTCTGAATGTGACTCAGTTCTCTAAAGTCAACATGATGTGTGTTAGTGGAAGTGTTCTAGCTTTAGAATTCTGTTAGCACTGAGCCTCCTTATAGTTTCAGGGTTAGTTTGACAAGATGCCAATGAATGAGTCACATTTGCTGAAAAATTCACGTGTTCCAGCAGGGAAAGAAGGTGAGAACTGATTAGTGGAGTAGGGCTTGGGGGATACTGTTGCAAAGTTAAGATAACTTAAGACCACATTTGGGGAACGTGGGACAATTTTTAGAATTTCACATTTACTTGAAATTTTTGTTTGTGAGAACTAACATAGATTTGGTTTATTCTGTAACTTTATTCTTTAATCTTTTTCTGCTATGGACCTTACAGAATAGAAAATTGCAGCTATCTGTCTAAGATACTTCATCAAGTGGCAAGCTCTAATTGTCCTCTGAACTAAGTTTGGATTTCAGAAACTACAATTTTTTAAAATGTCTAACATCAGGAAAACTTTAGGTATGCAAAGTAAATAAAACTAAAGTCAGAAACTAGAATTCAGTCCTGCAGTTTTTACAATATTTCCTTAACTATTAAAACAACTTTCTTGATGGAACAGAAAAATATCATTTTTAGGTAGGCTAATAGTTGAAGGAAGCACAGCTGTAATGTTCAAAGGTTCATCCCTCCTCAAACTTATTTTCAACATGTGACATTATTATTTAGTTTAAAATAATTTTATTGGCTAGGCACAGTGGCTCACACCTGTAATCCCAGCACTTTGGGAGGCCAAGGCTGGCAGATCACCTGAGATCAAGGGTTTGAGACCAGCCTGGCCTACATGGTGAAACCCCGTCTCTACTAAAAGTAAAAAATTGGCTGGGCATAATGGCACGTGCCTACTCAGCTACTCAGGAGGCTGTGGCAGGAGAATCACTTGAACCTGGGAGGCAGAGGTTGCAGTGAGCCAAGACTGCGCCACTGTACTCTAGCCTGGGTGACAGAGCAAGACTTCATCTCAGAAAAATAAAATAGTTTTATTTTAGAACAGCTCCCTAATGCTATGCCCATTTTTTTTTTTCTCAAAAGAGCCACTTATCCTCTGGCAGAACCTAACCAATTGTCCTTCCACTTTAATAACTAAAATCTGAATTACCTTATTCATATGACTCATATTTTAACATTAATTTTTTGTTAGAAAAATTTAAAATACAGAAAAGTTTGGAGAATAATGGCATATTTCACACTGAAACCCTTGTCATATTTACTTCCACTCTTTGTGCATTTTTTCTGTCATTTTTTTCATTTATTTATTAGAAAATTTTAATTATACAAATAATGGATTCATAGATTCTCTTCTTTTGTTTTATTAAAAAAAATTGCATCAGACCTCTACGTCAAAAAAAAAAAAAAAAAAAGAAAGAAAAAAGAGAAAACATTTCAGATCGTCACTATTTCTTGCAGTAGACACTAGTTCTTATTTACTGTCGCCACTTCAATCTTTGGTACTTACTCAGTTTCTCCCTTAAAACTATGTAATCGTATGCTCCATTTGGGAAAATACAGCCTTTAGTAAGCCACCCCTTCCTGGCTAAACCTCAGTGAATTTCATCAAATTCTTGATTGGAAAGTTCTAGTGCTTTTAAACTGTAACTTGAGATTTCCAAAGAGAAACTCTGGCAGATTTCAGTCAGCTTCCTGACCTGCAGGGCTTCAATTTGGGGCTAACAGTTTTAACTCAGAAAATCTCTGACTTGATTGGCTCAATAAATTATATCCTATATAGCCATTAAGATCATGGTTCTGGGAAGTATTTTAATGATATAGGAATGTGCTCTGAAATAATAAGTGAGAGAGTACACACAACTTTGTGTGCATTACAGTTCCATTTTTATGTTTGTTTTGGGTATATATGTATGTGGGTGTGAAAATGTATGTAGAAACAGTGTCAGCATAAAACATGGGAAGGTGGTAAGTTTGCAGGTGGTTTATTTTTTCCGTATACTCTTAGTATATTTTCTAAATGCTCCACAATAAATGTTTCCCTTTTAGAATCAGAAATGAACAAGAAATATTATAAAAAAATTTTTTTTAACATCAAGCTCTTGTCTGTTTCAGACATAGTTCACCTTTAGAAATCTAATGACATTCTTCTCATGGTATTAAATATATGAACCACTCTAATCAGAGAATCCAACTATTTTAAACACTAATAATGCTGAAGTGCGGAAGCAACTATTAAATTCTTTAACAAGATTCACTCTCATTCTCACTCCACACCCCCTTATTTTTTGATAAGCATATGTAGTCTTTTATGGAGATATTCTGATGTGGATCTAAAGCATTTAGTTGCTTTAGTTCTCTGCTTTCTTTCTAATTTCTTGTAGAGGCAATCTTACCATCCCAAAGTCTGTTGCTTCTTACTGTGGTGCTTCAGGGTTAGCCCATCATGGTTGCATCTTTGGTTTCCCCAGCCTGAACAGTTTGCTGCCCTATCTCCCCTTACCTGGTGGCCTCCTGCTGAGGTTTTATGTTATAGCTTAAATGTCACTTCCTGAGAGGAGCTATCCCTGACTGTCCTTCCTCTAGTCAAAATCAGCTGTTTCTGTTATAATCTGTCGTTGAACCCTTCAATTTTCCTTCATAGTTACGCAATTTAGGATTATGTTCAGTTGCGAATGACTGAAAATCCCAAATGAAAATGATGTAAACAGGGAAAATTTAATTTCTCTCTCATCTAAAAGTTCTGTAGGGGGACTAGGTCTGCTGAAAGTGGTTCCCTGGTGTCAGAGAACCCAGGTTCCTCCTATTCTGTTGCTCTGCCATTCTCAGCATGCAGCTTTCACATCATACTCCAAAATAGCTGCTCCATCTGGTAAGAAGGGGGAGGAGCAACAAAGAGCAAGCCCTTTATTTTTTAAGGATGTTTACTAGAAGTTGTGTGCAGCACTTAGATCCCATGGGTCTGAACTTAGTCATATGGACCCCGCTAGGAGCAAGGAAGTCTGGAAAATGTAGTTAGTTTATTGCTGGTGGTCATGGCCAGATAAAATTCAAGGACTATTACTGAGTAAGAATTGAGAAATTTGAGACTTAAGAATTCTCTAATATAAAAAAAAAAAAGAATTGGGAAATAAATACTAGGAATGATTAGCATTTTCTACTATCGTAGCATATCTGTATCTGTAGGATTACTATTTTAAAATACCTGTTTTCCTCATTATATTGTTAGTTTCAAGAAGGCAGGGAACATGTTTGTTTTATTTGCTTCTTTATTCATAGTATAATTTAGTATGATATTTAACATAGAATGATATTAACACAGAAGAAGCACTTATATTTTTTAAATGAATTATTTTATCCACCAGATCTTTTGCTCTGTTTATATCATAATTTTTTTATAGAACAGTATGCCTTTTTATGCTTTTTAAACCTAACTTATGAAAATCTTCTTAGATTTTTGAGTGTTCTTTGATATTATTTTTAACGCTTTAATATTAATGTAATTGGCTATATCATGATTTTTAAAAACTATTCTTCTCTTACTTGATAATAGGGTATTTCCAGGGTTATTTGCTATTATCAGTATTGCTGTGATAGATAAACCCTTCTATATGAAATGAATGTGTGTTTCTCTCTGATTGCTTTAGGATAAATTCTTAGATGAGTGATGAGTGGGTTTGTTGGTCACGTATTACCCTAATAATTCTGCGTCAGAAACCAGTGTTTTATTGAGTGGCTTTCAACACTGCCAGTAGTTGTACCTAACTGGTCCAAGATTTGATTATCTCTT